CCCGCCTGCCCGCTGCGCCTAAGCCACCCGCCTGGAATTTGCGCAGCAAACCCCAATACGCAAGCCCCATCCATCCCATCAACCCCATTCAACCAGTGGAACGAAATCCGTTTCAGCGCACCCCTGCACAACCGCCGCAATGGCAACGGAACACTAGTGATGCAGGCGCGGCATTTGCACCGCCAAAGTTCTTTCCTGTGAGCGATCATACTGCGACAACTGGACTTGAGAGCTTGTTTGATCGGACCTTCACCATCAAGTCTCCTGAAGATGGAGAAGACAATTACTGGCAAGCACATCAAAACCCAAATGAACACACTCACCATCCTGTAAATCTATGGAGTTATTTTGTCTACCAATACCTCCGGCTAGGACTTCTCGTTGTTTCTCTTGCTGCCTGGACTTTTTCGGAATACGGTCTACTCTCGCTCCCGGGCAATTATGTTGAAATCGCATCGTTGGGCAGTGCCAGTCTTATCGCCGGGTTCGCCCTTCTAGAGGTCATGAAACGTCCTATCATGCAGTGGAATGGCATGGAGATCCTTATCTGCTTTTCCGAGCTGGCTGCTGCTGTTAACCTGGGGGGCTACCTTCCCCGGGGTTCTTTCCAGCGGCAATCTTTTGACACATACGGGAAGTTGTTGTTGGTTTTCATGACCGCCCAAGAGGCACTGAATCTGCTGTCACTGTATCGCCTCGCTGCAGTCCATGGCTCTAAGTCCCAGCAACAACAGCAGCAACGCCGCCGCCGCATCGCGTCTCCAGATGGCCGCGTGCCTGGACCTCAGTCCCCATCGGTATTTAATCACCAGAGCCAGGTCCAGTCGTTTGACAGTCAGCCATCTATGCCACCCCTGTCGTTTTCATCTACTGTTCCTACCTCGAGCTTCTCGGCGCAGTCACCCGCCACGCCCACCCACTTCGCACCTTCGCCATATGACGGCGGATTTTCCAAGAACCACAGTTTCACTCTGAACAGTCTGAAGGACAACGAGTCCGACGTGTCGGACGCGTTTGACCGTGACTCGGACACAGAAACCACTGTAACAACAGCCACATCTGCCACCAACAACACAATTCGAAACATTCGCTATGGACAGAACAACGATTATAACAGTAACTCGCTGTTCTCGCCCCGACGATCAGAGCTAGGTCCAGGGATCGGGGGCCTGAGCTTGGAGGACGAGCCCGGTCGCCGCATCACGCGCAGTCAATCGAAGCTCAAGGATCGTTTCGCCGCGGCGCGAGGAATACGGTAATATTAATCCCCGATCTTTGGGCTTTGGTTGGCCCCATTCGACTTGTTGTCTCAATCAAGCGTTTGCACTTTTTGGAGTTGGTTAGCTGCCTCTATCCTTGCTAAATCTACCTTGTACCACTCTTTGTGAGCCCACGCGATCTACTACGGCAGGTGAGAAAGCTTGCTTGTTCCGAGTCCATTTCGTTCGTTTCACTGTGCTTAGGGCTGTTTGGAGATGTGTTTTGTACATAGCAAGTAGAATGAACGATTTATGAATGATGGCACGACCGATTGCTCACTTTGTCAGGGTGAGTTATAAGCAAGCAATTCCTCCCTATTGTCCTAAAGTACAATTGATCATTACTCCTTCAAACTTGAGCTTAGCCTTGTGCCGAACCCAGTTCAGAAAGCACCTCGAATGTATTTCTTGAACCACAACGCCTCTCTCATGCAATCGCTAATATAACTATGCTTTATAGTCTACCTTCTATGCGCCATTTTATCAAATATGGGATTACCTACATTTAGACCCCCCCAAGTTTATCCGCGACAAACCTCGAGAGCTCCTGGATCGCACGAGGTTCCTCTTCGGTACCCAAATGAGTTGAGAGAATCTGCAACCAGTGGGCTGGCTGAATTTCGTGGAGTTTGCGGTCCTTCAGGGCCTCTTGTAAGCGGGCTGCCTGTTCTGTAGCCATGGAGGTGTCCGAGGAGGTAGAGATGTGGCTTTCAACGATGGCGCCATGTTTGAGGCGAAGGAAAACGCGAGTCTAATAGTCGAAGGTTAGCCAAGCTTATTTTTGACAGTCCAGCCGTGCATGATGACGGAAGGGTAACTCACAGACGGCGGCAAGGTGGCCGGTAGAGGAGGCCGGTCGCGCGGGTCCTCCCCTTCTACCGGATGGGTCGAGAAGATGAACCGGGGTGTCTGGCAGTATTTCCACTCGAGGGACTTGATGCCTCATTAGCATAGGATACCACGACCCAAGAACAAGGACAAGAGCAGTGTCAACGCAACTCACCATCATCTCTTCGATCCCCTTCATGATCTCCGCCTCTCCAAACCCTTGCTCCTCCCCCACAGTCCCGACCACCCAGTCCTCTCCGGCATACAGCTCCGACGCTTCCACAACATGGGCCCTCTGCGCCCGGCGTACAGCATCCGCGCAGGTTCCATAGAGCCCGGCAAATTCGCCCATGACTCCCGCAATGACGTCCTGGGTCTCGAACGAGACCGGTGCATTCGTGAAGGCCGACGACACATTCGCCACGGGCGACCGCACACTATCCACCCCCTTGGACACCATATACTCGCGCGCCGGCGAGCGCAGGAACGAGCCCAGCCGGTCGATGTTGGGCGAATCGAGCAAGCAGGTCCCGTGGTGAAGCGCGCGCTCGCGGGTGAGCTTGAAGGCGGACCCGGAGATCTTGCGCGGTTGCAGCTCAGGCTCCCCTTTCCCGGCGTTCTCGAGTTTCATGACGATGTCGTGGCGGTCGTTGACACTGGTGGTCGTCGCGCCGATGCGGTGGAGGGCCCGCACCAGCATCTCGGCGTGCTTGTTGCGGGTGAACGTCGCGCGCGGCGAGATGACGCTGTAGTTGAGGTTGCCTTCGTCGTGGAAGACTGCGCCTCCGCCGGAGCGGCGGCGGACGTAGAGGGGAGCCGTGGCGTTTTTAGAATGGTCTGGAGAAGACGGACTGGTGGCGGCGGCGGCGGCGGTCCGGTCGTTGTGTAGCACGCGAAGATTGGTTTCGAGCCATGGGTTCTGGTTGCGACCGATCACGACACAGGGGCGATTGATGTATAGGAATAGGATATTAGAGTCGGCGGGCGCATGTTGGAGGAGGAAATGTTCGATAGAGAGGTTGACGTAGGGGTCGTTGGACAGCGATTGGTAGATCTGGTGTTTGGAAGATGGCCGGCTGGCGAGCTGCGCGAATCGATTACCTGTGTAGGAGGAATTCCACCGTATTGGTACCGGTGCCGTCGTATATTGCCATTGGGAGGATGCAAATGACGAAGGTCGGAATGGGGAGGTGCGCAAAAGGTGGCGCATCGGGTGAGATGCAGGAGATGAGCACCACATGAGATTTATTTATGTGGATCGATAAGGAAGACGGCGATGATGATGATTGCTGGTGATGCTCATTGGATTTCCGTGGACCGGGGGTTGCAGGGCGGTGAGTGTGTATCGTACCTGTTACTTACGGTATTGACCGTATGAATCTATGATCGTGCATGCAGCATTGGACGAATGGGAAAGGGCGGTCGTCATGCCCTCCCGCGGGCTGCTTCGAGTAAAGAGGCAGCCGATCTCCGGGGGCTATACCCGATGAAGCAAAAGGGCGGCAGAAAACCAAAGCGGGAAGCCATAGCAGAGGAAATGCCCCTCCAAAGCCTAAAGGCGATCTCGCGATCGGCCGGCCATGAATCAGTCATTCATTCTTCTTTTGTCCGTGTCTGTCCAGTCCACTCTTCCATTCCACTCCACCGGCCACCCACCACCTTGCTCCAGTCTTATTCCGATCTCACCTTCTTTTTCTTCCTTCTTCCTTCTTCCTGGAGGCTGCCAATTCTATCCGTGACCTCTTCCTCTTTCTTCCTGCCCTTACTCCGATTGATCCTCCCACTTGGGAAAAATCTCGACGCCGACATCGCATCGCATCACATCAGCCCACCATGTCGACCTGGGGTGATTACTTCCGCGTCACCACGTAGGTTTAGCTCCTGCTCAATCGCGTCATCAGTGACATTCGCCACAGGCGTAGCAAGTCACGGTCGAACTAATTGCTTTCTCCCTGCAGTTACGGTGAATCGCACTGCCGCTCTGTCGGCTGCATTGTCGATGGCTGCCCACCCGGAATGGAGCTCACTGAGGATGATATTCAGCCCCAGATGACTCGCAGACGCCCCGGCCAGAGTGCCTTGACAACCCCACGAAACGAGAAGGACCGCGTCGAGATCCAGTCAGGAACAGAATTCGGTGTCACTCTGGGCACTCCGATTGGCATGATGGTGCGCAACGAGGATCAGAGACCCAAGGATTACGGCGGTAGCACAATGGACCTGTACCCCCGTCCCAGCCATGCCGACTTCACCTACCTGGAAAAATATGGCGTCAAGGCCAGCAGTGGTGGTGGCCGCAGCAGTGCCCGCGAGACGATCGGTGGGTGCAACACTCCGACCTGCCGGTGAAATGAATGAATGAAACATACTAAGAGGATGATTAGGTCGAGTCGCTGCCGGAGCCATTGCTGAAAAGTACCTTCGCCTATCGCACGGTGTTGAGATCGTCGCCTTTGTCTCCTCCGTGGGCAACGAACACCTGTTCCCTCCTACTCCCGAGCACCCCACCGCCTCCACCCAGCCCGAGTTCCTGAACCTGATCAAGACCATCGACCGCACGACCGTCGACTCCTTCGTGCCCACCCGCTGTCCAGATGCTGATGCCGCCGCCCGCATGACCAAGGTGATCGAGCAGTTCCGCGACAACCACGACAGCATCGGCGGCACCGTCACCTGCGTGATCCGCAACGTGCCCGTCGGCCTGGGCGAGCCCTGTTTCGACAAGCTCGAGGCCAAGATCGCCCACGCGATGCTCAGCATCCCCGCCACCAAGGGCTTCGAGATCGGCTCCGGGTTCGGCGGCTGTGAGGTTCCCGGCTCGATCCACAACGACCCCTTCATTGTCTCCGACGTGGCATCCCAGCTTGGTCCCAACACCTCCACCAAGCAGCGGCTCACCACCAAGACCAACAACTCCGGCGGTATCCAGGGCGGTATCTCCAACGGCGCCGACATCTACTTCCGTGTTGCGTTCAAGCCCCCGGCCACCATCGGCCAGGCCCAGAACACGGCCACCTACGCCATGGAGGAGGGTATCCTCGAGGCCAAGGGCCGCCACGACCCCTGCGTCACCCCCCGCGCCGTTCCCATCGTCGAGGCCATGTCCGCCCTGGTCATCATGGACGCCCTCATGGCTCAGTATGCTCGCGAGAGCGCCAAGAGCCTCCTGCCTCCCTTGCCCAACACCATCCCCACCCGTCCTACCCTGAGCGGTTCCAACTAAAAAAAAAAAAAAAAAAAAGCCCTTTTCTCCTCATTGCATCATGAAGATCTAATCGAAGCAATCATCTTTATGTTCATTTCATGGTTTCTTTCTCCATATTTCCGGGAACAGGCTTGGGAAAAGTTGTTTCCTTCATTTATTGGAATGTGGCTTCAACACTACATTCAGTGTTTTCCTATATATTTTTTGGCCTATTTGTTTCGAGACACCATTCATGAAAAATTAGAGTGCAGCGATATATCATGGTATGACAATTTTGGATATATTTTTATTCTCCTTCTTTTCCTCTTTCTTTTGGTATATCCAACATCGGCTTATAAGAATACGGGCATGTATCTGGTTGTTTACCACACATCATTGTTGCCGAACGGTGTTCAACTGGGCAATCCATTGGGCCTTCCTAATCGGTCGAGTCCAGCCTGCGGCGCCGGCTTGCCCCGATTGGATGTTCCGTTGACGCCGGTGATACTGGTAACGTGTGGATGTTCTCCATCTGGCTATTCGCAATCTCGAGGGTTTCCACTCATGGCTCATAATATTATAGTAAGATCATTACATCAGGGGGAAACCTCATTTCCCACCACATGGTTCGTGAACACATACATACATACATACATATATCGTTTTATATGAACATGGTCAACATCGTCTTTCCAGCACCAAACACAAACAGGGGTAACAACGGTAACGAAGGGGAATGGAAGTTGGTCTGCGCTCGCCAGATTCGTCATTGCCAGGATATAACCACCCAAAAACTCACAGCGGAAAGATAGCACGAGGCAGATCTTCCTTCCCCTTGGGATTGCGTATACACGGACCCATATACCGTACGCCATTTCAAATCTCGCGGACCATGCGAGGAATGCCACCACTCACGGACCTCTCCGAAACGCCATCCAACTCGCCCGCCGTAGCGTTCACGACCCGCAACTTCTCTTTCGGCACCGTGAAGGTCACTTGCACTCGTCGGCCCTCCGCCGCCCCCTCGACGTCCCAGTCGTCATCCCCATCCTCGGCGCCATCGGCATCAGCATACCGTCGCAGGCCGCCATCGGAATATAATCCGCCAAGCTCGTCACCAATCCCCGTGTCGTCGCGCCACGACGGGCCAGCGGCGACCGAGCTTCTCTTCCCGGCTCCCCAGTCCCTGGCCCCCTGTTTGCGGCGGAAGAGCTCGGCGGAGGCGCTGACGGAGCGGCGCGGGATCCGCGTGTTCCCGTATCCGGGAGCCAGGGGGGTTTCGTGGGACGGGCGGCTGTTACCGTTGCCGACGACGGTGCTTCGGCGGTCGAGGTTGATGTCGATGCCGGAGGCGATGGAGGTGAAAGCCCCGGAGGGTTCGGGGAAGTCTGCCGTGGGTGGTCGGCGCCGGGTGAGAGAGAGGACGCGGCGGACATTGTGGCCGATCCAGTCGGAGGTTCGGGGCCTGCCGACAGTGGGCAAGGCAGTGGGTTTGCTGTCGGGCATAGGGAAGAGCTCGAGCGTTTGAGCAAGAGGGGAGGTAGGCTCGTCGAGGCTCTGAGAGTGCTGGTGATGTTGGAGGAGGTGTTCGCCTTCGGATTGACGTTGAGACACCGAGGTCTGTGCAGTCGAGTAGGAGTCCGAGGTATAGCATTGCTCAACGAAGGAAAGCGCCATGCTGTTCGGCCGGCTGCGGGGGCCATCTCGGCTGCTGTTATTACTGCTGGCGCCACCACTGCTATAGGCAGAAGCTGCTTCGCTGGACCTCAGGAGTATTTGGCGTCCACTTATCGACTGATTGGAGGAGGAGAGGTGCGGGAGATTGAGAGCACGGGCTTGGATGATGGACTTCGCGGAAGCGGTTGATGAATCGGACAGGTTGGATGAAGTCCGGTCTCCTTTGTCTGGAGAGGCGGGACCACCGTCTGGATCGATGCCAATCCCAGCAATGAATTCGGGGGGTACGAGGGGGACAGCTGAGTAGGCGCCCAAGGGCGGTAGAATGGCTGATCCTCTTGGCTGGTCGTATGTCTCCTGCGCAATGATCATTCCGGGGTTCTTTGCCTCGTCTTCTTCGCGCTCGTCAATTGGATGGATTTCTCCGGTGGCATCGCTTCTGCGAAACTCGCTGTATTGGGTTGGAGGCCGGTACAATCTCGCTGTTGGGCCAGACAGGTTGGACTTGGTGGGACTCAATGCTTCCCCAAGCAGGCCAGTGCTCTCCGCGATTGTCCCCCCTGCCTTATCACGCCAGACAGACGACTGCCCAGATCCGCGCTTACTCTTCCAGTCGGCAATATCTTCCATCTCCCCTGAAAAGGGCCTGCGTATGCTGCTCGCCATATTTGGCCCCTCGCCACCCCAGAAATGAGCTCTTTCTGCTCCAAGGGCCAAGTTACGTAGTTCCTGATCGCGTGAGCGACGCTTGTAGCGCCTGCGGCTGTAGAAGAAAAGGAAGACTGCTAAACAAATCACGGCGGGGATCCCCAGCCCCAGACCGACGCCAAGTCCGGTCTTCGTACGCGAATTCGAGGTGCCAGAAGCAGATCCGCTGGCTTTTCGCGAGTAAGGGTTTTCATAGGATGATACCCAATGTCCCGACGTGACATTGTACAAATAAACCTGCGAGTTGTCTAGAGAGCTTCTGGAAGAGAGTTTGGAAGATCGATTCGAAATAGTTTGTCCCCCTGCGATCATCATCACTCCCCCAGGAAGCATTGTGGCACCATGCCCATATATTCCCGTCGCTTCATCAGTTTCTGGATTTGTCATCGATGGTATCCTCCAGGTCCATGCTTCGTAGTCCGCTTCAAGCTCCAGGATAGCTAGCTGCGGTTGAGCTGCGGTGCTCGTGTTCCCTACCCAGCCTCCGTAGACGATGACTTGGCTACCGTCCGGAGACAGAACTGCTGTATGCCCCGACCTTGGCTCCACGAGGTTGACTTCTCGTACGGCAAGTTCTGTTTTGAGCGTGGTCGGTGCAGTCATCACATTCACAAAGCTCCAGCTATTCTGCGGGAGAGAAAAGACGGCAAGCTGCGACATGTTTATGAAGGCGTCCCGGGTCTGGCCTCCAATCAGGAGGAAATCTTGCTGCTTGCGCGGCTCTCCAGTGGAGGAATATGCATAGGACGCCTGTAGAGGTGTGATTGTAAACCCGGCCTCCGCGATAGGAGGGGCTCGACTGCCAGTTGTAGAGGCGTCATAAACCACAGTATCCCCGGAAGTATGAGGATATAGAACGATCATCGACTGAGAATAGTTTGCCGTAGCCATCCAGGTTTGGTTTGTGGTATTCGTGAATGGGCACATGCCGCCGAATGCATAGATGGAACTGTCAGATGTATTGGTGGGCGCATATGCAAAACCCGCCGAAAGGAAATTGGGCCCATGCATAGCGACACTGGACTGGGTTGCGGAGCCACCTATGGCCAGCCGTTCCCAAGTGCCATTGCCCGTGGAATCGTTTGCTTTGGGTGTGAACTGCCACAGCGCGCCTTGGTCCAAGGTATCCCGGCAGCCACCTGAGAGTACCTTGATTACGCCAGCGGCGTCGACAGTTGGTACATAAGCTGAACCGTTCCCATGGTGCTGGAAGGGTAATGAGCTTGTCAAAGTCGAATAACGCGGTTCCGCGGCGTCGACAACTCCCGATACGTTCAAGGCCAGGAATTCCGTGGTGGCATTCTGACTAGATCCCGTAGCATGCAAGAGATATGCAAAAGAGCCGTTATGGTCGAGACTGTAGAGTAGCTGCGATGGTTCGTATGGAATCAGCGCAGAGGTCGGATCAGCGCAGAGTAGAACGAAGGCAAGTACAAGCGTCGACACCACGTGGGCGCCGACAGATCTGCGCATTCCGTGTCTTTGTGGAAAACATCCATCCATGTGTGTGTAGACGAGAGCTGGAGACGAGGTCGAAAGCAAGGCTGATCTGAGACAGGTCGCAATGCATCTAGCGCAACGGTTAGCCCGTTAGCACGATCTGGACAAGGCACGGCTGGAGACCAGATCAGCCGACATGGGCGAGGATCGTCAAACTAGACCGATGCAATTGCTCTAGATCCAAGCGAGCACTTCAGAATATGGATGAAGCGAGGGTGGAAAGGTATGGTGGTGCTAATGGAAGAGAGATGGGGGGGTAGGGGGAGGGAGGAATGCAGAAGATGGATTTGGGTTTGGTGGCTAGACCAGAGAGAAGAAAAGAAGGAGGAGGAAGTGACACGGACATGGATCTCTTCAGCAGGCAACATCGCAATTGCGGCCGATCGGATCCGACTGTAGATGAAATGAGGAGTCTGTGGCAGGACGAATTGATTGACATAATCGTCATGGGTGTCCTTAGTGTGCTAAGAACGGTAGTGTCGATAGTGCTCAGCTCCATATGGAGTAGTAGACAGGCCTATCCATCTAAGGACCAGGAAATAGTGAGGGGCTGGGAAGAACAATTGCGCCGTCAACACGGGCGGTTGCACTGGCAACCTGAAGGCTACATTAGTACTGACTGTACGGAGGAGTACTGTACCTATGGATCCTGGCCATTGTCTGGGTTGTCGAGTGAGGCGAGCAGAGAGAGAGTTGGATAGGCGGGAGGGGCAAATTTTCCCCCTCTCCCTTAAGTTGGGCAACGGCAACGTCTTGAGTTTAGTTGATTCCAAATGACAGCTCCATCAACGCGAGGGGGAGGACAGGTGGATGCATGATCCCATGATGGCATGAGAAAGGAACAAAAAAGAAAAGGTGGAGCCGCGAGTGAAACAGGGCAACAGACCATCTTCCGGGCCGAACTTTGGGTTGGGTTGTTTACACTTTAATTGACGCTTCAGAAGGTTGAAGGTTGATTAGCTCATTCCTACCTAGTAGACTAGGACATTCAAGTTTATCTTATTTTTATTGGAACTCTGCCCGATGAAAGTGGGGATTCGACCAATTAAGTTACAGGTTGGCCTGCCAACTGCTTGCTGCTGCTGCTACTGTTGCTGCTCCTCAGAATCCCGAGTCCAGACCTACCTAACCCTACTTAGTATCAGACTGTAACCTAGCACTTTTAGCTGATAGACTAGTAGCACCACCGATAGGGCTGAGATGATGCTAGTCACTCGTGGAACATGCAAGGAGCATTAACAAAAGAAAACCAATCTCGTGCTCATCATGGCCAGGCGGGGCTTACGGGCACCCAAGAGACCCCATGTACTCTTGATACGTACCATAAGCTGCCATCCCGCTGGCCTGAAAACACGACCCGCACCTTCGTCATCACACTCATCATGTTCCGTCTTGCCACTGTGAGTCGGGGCGTCCCTTTCTCACTCATCCTCATGGTCAGGAGAGGCAAATGGGGAGAGAAAGAGAAGCGCGATCCGGCCACGCGTCGGACTCTTACGGCCCTTGCAGCGCACGGGCTCATACTCTGCTGGATGGTCCTGGTGGGGGGAAACAAACCAGGTTACGATTGTCTGCCTATAGCACAGCTCTACTCCGTAGTACGGCTTGGCTGGATTCGGTGACAAGGGTTCGGCCACATCCCGTCCATAATCTGAACAGCACCCTGAGTCCACTTGGGTGAAGGGGGGGGAGAGGGAGGAGGGGCGTAAAGGATTTGACATCCGTTGTTCGGTGAACATTCAGGAATTCAGAGGCCATGCTCCGACGCGGGATTTGAGTCTGATCAGTCTGCATTGGGCTACCTCCTTGTCAGAGCTGAGGTGATGCCTCAAATTTCCGATAGGTAGAGATTGAGACGGGTTTCCGTTGGTGCGGTAGTAGCAAACATGTTGAGTACTTTCCGGGAGGATTGAGCGGTGGCGAAGGATCGCGTACGGAGTAGAACGACGCGAATGACAGTACGTCTCATACCGCCTCAAAGCCCCTGTTGGGGTAGATACGGGCACATGGCCCCTGCAGCGGAATAAAAGAGCTTTTCCACAGTACCGGCTGGTTGTTCTGGAGTTGATCGCGAGTCATATCTTGAAAACACTTGGCATGCCGTGCCAAAAATGCCTCGGGAGTTATCGGTTCAGGTTATGAATCGCTGTGTCTTTCATTCCTTTGCGCTCCATGTCGTCATCCTCTAGACCCAGCAGATGCAGCGTGTTATAATGCAGAGGAAATCAGGGCCTGCGAATGACAAACCTTGGACTCTACCAGAATTGTTCTCTTGGCGGTTGACACCGAGTAATCTCTGGTATGACAAGGTGCAGCGATGCCAAATAGGTGGAGGGAAATGCCATGCCGGCGGTGATAGGTGGTGAGATGTACGATGTAGGTAGAGGGTACTGTACATGCTCACTCAGGGGCGTTGACAGATCGACCACCAGCGCCCATAGCTAGTAGTGGTGGCTGATATAGAGTTGCATTTGCTTGGGGATCCCAGGCCCGACATCCCTTCGCAGCTCCAACCATATGTAACGAAAAGGATCCGAGGACTACAGCACTTGTGTATGAACTCTGTCTGATTGGGTGTGATCCGGAACCATGAGCTGCGACAGGAGACCAGTCCGCCAGTATGCATGGGCATTGAAGTGGATGCCCAGCACGCATTGGGTTGTGCCAGAGTGATATGACATGATGTGACGGTTGACTGGGCACGGGGCTGTCTCCGGCTGTCAGCTCTGTCAGTGATAATCTTGCCTGCATTGTCCTCGCCCTTTGCGGACCGCACCGGGCAAGGGATGGCTTGGGGGGGGGGGGAAGATTAGTATCTGCAGGGATGATGGCCCGTGGTCCTCTTGGCTTCCGAGGATGGTGGCTGGTTTGCGTGTGACAGGTGAGTTCGAAGGGGGTTGGGAATATGCTCAGGCCGTAGGTCTCCGTACAGTACTCCGTAACGGGTTTGTAATGAATTAGTACTCAGTAGTGAGTATCAATATTTTTCGACTTTGACAATCCCAGGGCAGGGATTCATCTGCTATGTACGGAGTACTCTACATACCTAGCAGCCCATTCCGTACAGTACGGTCAGGACTCAAGAGGGGTAGGACTGCGCTAAAAAGCTTGGTCTAAGGACTGGCAACCAGTGAGGTTTGCTCAGATGCAGTAGTGGGTATGCACGCTCACCAAATAGGAACTATCAGGATGCCGCGCAGGAGTAGGGGAGGGATAATTGTGGTTGGTGGGATCTATCTTGTAGAGCTGAGTCCTTGGGATTACTTTCAGTTGCAGAACAACCCTTTCTTGAGGGTAAGCCGGAATCCAGTGGTGGAAAGCGGTTCAGAGAAAAGACTTTACTCAAGCATCGGGTATCAGGTCCTATATATAAGAGACGACCGGTGATGGTCAGGAATAATGCATAGTAAGGTGTACCAGTAAGAAAAAAAAAAGTAGATTCAAAAATAAGTGGCGCTGCCCGGAATCGAACCGGGGCTGGCACGGCCACAACGTGACGTCATACCACTAGACCACAGCACCTGTTGTTGTTGGAAATGCACCCCTGCTTGGCAATATGTACCATAGCACACACATTCCTGGCTACACCTAAGGATTAGAGCATTTTTCCGTCGCATTTGTTATCGTCATGCCGATGTTATATATATTACCTATATATATGTCTCGGAGAGCCGCTATCTCAGATCGATCTCATCTTTGCTAATGTTCTCCAGGTTGTAGTGCTATAGTTAGGCACACCTCCAGCTCATCGATGATAGCCGGTACACATTTCTTGAGTATATATCTCAATCGGGAGACCAGGCTCGTTCACCAGGCTACCAACAGCCTGCACAACGGGGGATATGCGATCGACAGCCCCACCAGCCATGAAAAAAAGTGTCGAGCAACAGCTACCAAGGTGTATCTCAAGATACAGAGAGATACAAGAAACGTATCAATCCCTACCCCAGCAAATAGAAATGGCGCATAGTCCATACATGCATAGTATCATCAGGAGCAGAAGGGGGGCGTCAGTGGGTCCTATAAATGAACGTCCTACCCAGTACACCAGATGCACTCGAGCAAGTCTACAACCCTCAGCGGGTTGCCACCTCGAACCGGATCGAAGGAGCTAAGCCCCGGCAGAAGACCATGGCCCACACGCCACAGCAAATAGATGACACCTGAATTGGACCAGATGAACGCACGGCACGTACTGAGTGACAGGAGGTAACAAATGGGCTGAGTTACACACACCAAAGGCAAGCAAAGGAGAAATGAATTGACCATACCTGCCGTAACGAGCCCGCACACAAGGGCCAATATACAGTCAATCAGTACTCAACACCGGCTGTAACTTATTCTTATCACTGAAGGAGGTCCTTGCTGTGTCAGGCACATACACAATGGGGGTAGCATCAGCATGTAGGACCTCGATGACATTGTAGAACCGGATGGGAATGAGGACAGTGCATGCATGCAGCACGCCTGCGGTGTCTCCCGAGACCCAATGAAATGCACCAGATAGGTTGGCAACAGATAAATCCGAGACAGAACTAAGGTTCAGTCACTTGCCAGAGTCATGCATCCCCGCCTGCTCAAAGAAGACCCCGGCCCACTTCCCTGTACCTAAAACATACATCCAGTGGTGGGAGGAGAGTCTCGCGGATCGAGGGAACGACTGCAGTAGGCCGTGACGGAGCATCGCGCAATTAACACCCCGAGTTATAAATGGGAGGAGATTAGTTAGCTCAGGCTAGAAAATTGCACAGGGAACAAAGGTGTTTGTTTCATCCCATACCATCGACTAGTCTAACGCACGGAGGACGGGATTCCATGCCACTAAAGCAGCCACCCTTTATGGAGCGAATCAGGCTGCTATGCATGAGCAAACCAAAGATTTGAGGGCCCGGCTGGTCACTGCCTGTTGGTATCTACCGCAGGTACAGCGCAATGCTGATACTTTCCGAGGATGGACCAGTATCCCGAGTTGGAAATACTAGACGTGACACCCGGTGGGCTGGCCGTGCTTCCAGACATGGTTTAAATCCCCGCCAATTCGAACCAACAACTGGAAGTAACCACATCGTAGTATATGCTAGGCACTAGGTACTGTATCTACCACCGAAGTTCGAAAGGATAATGATCAACCGGCATGCATGCCCCCCCGTGGGCCTTGACATGAGATTGGCTATCTCGAAGTTGATAGACCCAGAAACGACAGGTCCCTCGGCAGCCCTAGGTCCAATGAAGGTATATATGTATTTAGTGACCCGACCATGCGGGAGGAGTAGAATGGATAAGCGAGGGAGAGGAAAAAATACACATCATTTCGTTCTCCATTCACCAACCGTGGTGCCCGGACAGTGCTATAACCATATTACTGTAAATCCACCAGCAACGATGTACCCTAAATTATGTTTTCCGTCCTGAGTATCGGCTGGTGAACCTGAGGATTTGCGGAGAACATGGACCTCCTCACCAAGCAGGAGGTTCTGACCCCCATTGGCCATAAGCACAGCAGCGGCCGAATACCATCTGGGCCAATGGCATCTGGGCTGGAGTCTGGTATAGCCGATCGATATTCCGGTTACCTTTAGTGTGAGCATGTTGTGCAGGTAGAGTGCTCGACCGGATACACCAAGATTGAATTATGTGATCGTATCGTCAAAGACGATGGGGCGGCGTAAATAGAGTTGAGTGGAAGGCGACAGCCATGATATGACCCATGGAACCAACGATAAAGTGCTGTAGGTCTGCCAGAGTTGGTGGCTGGTCGCACTGACAGGTGCCACTGGCATCCATTCCTACAGTAGAGATTTCTAACCCGATAAGATGCGACCATAGAGCCACAGACTCGCGCCCGAGCTAGTTAATGATCGCATGCTGGAGAAGACTAACCCCATTTATCAATGCGACAATTTGCTTGTTTTCCTCTAACGTATCCTGAATGGTAGACCATCCAAACAATTCGGAAAGGATCAAACAGACACGGCGAAGCCACACCCGAGCCCCTGCTTAGCCGTACGTACGACTCGAGAGAGAATTGGGCGACGGTTGCAGTAGAAAGAGAAAGAGAACCAGGGGAAGAAAGGAGCTGAGAAAGGAAGAATAGCGCCATTGACTCGTTGATTGACTCGTTGATGCTACTAGGCCGGAGAAATAGTCCCCTACGTAATGGTCGAGCCCGCGGATGGGTTGCTTGGCAAAGCAAGAAAGGGAGAATGGAAGACAACCTAAGCGACTGGCACCTGGCAAGAGACGCCGCCGCCACTGGGCACTGAGTTGACTGCAACTTGCAGCAGCAGCAGCAGCAGCAGCAGCAGCTCTTCTTTTTCAATTTTTGAGAAGGTATCAGGGTATCTTTACTTCTCTATTTATACATAGAATACACCTCTCCTGCTATTTAGGATATATTATCTCTTGATCATCATTCTGTACAACTTACTTACCTACTCGATGTCTTTATACTCTAAACTCAAGCAATTGGAGGAGCACATTATAGTTCATTTCCTGGGCTGGGTTGATCTCCTCATACAAGTACTTGTTGGTCGCATTTCAGGCTATTATGTATATATCTGGTAGCTTCAATCATTGTTTTTTTCTCTTCCCTTTTTCTCTTTTACCCATTCTTAATGTTAATCTTTTTTTTTATTATTATTAAAAAAAAATTTCGCCCCCCTTCCCCCGGGTCGGGGCCCAGTCGCCGAGACCCATGGATACCATGATTGGGAGGATCTCAACCAATCCACGATGCCAAGGAGGCCCGGATGGTCGGCCGAAATAGCTGGTGTGGTCTGGTCTCGTCTGGTCGATGGGGAAGGATGGATGGATGGATGCACTACTACTGAGGGCTGATTCCATTCTAAATCGAGTCTACCAAAGAGAAGGGGGCAATATTTCTTAGTATCCGCCATTATAGTAAACTGTCATCATCTATGGGGACAGAGTCATTATCTGCGTCGTCATAGTTATCTCGTTTGTACCTGTTAAGTAGGTACCTAGTAGTTTATACAGTAGTAGTATTTCTGATTGGTGAAAGAGGGAGTGAATGTACAGTACATACCAGAACCCTCTTCATCTCCTCTACTCTATCTCTCCCTCTTTCTTTCGCTCTAGCTCTCAACCGATCCTTGCCTTCCCAGTGGACATGCATCCCCACTGACCGGGTAATATCGAGTACGTTCCAGTTCATAGGTATCTCAGGTGGGGGCCCAGAATCTCCCTTCCCAAAGTTCCAAGCAATCCCCATGCGGCATATCCGTTTGTTCCAAGGGCTCAAATAAAGTCTCTTTGGAAGAGATCTCGACTGGTGTATGAAAAGAAAATGCTCTGTGGCTGGTGATGGTGGTGCTGGCAAAAAGTGAGCTAGTCAGTACAGTACAGTAGTGCAGCAGCAGCAGCAGCAGCAGCAGCAAGAGCAGAGCCAAAGGAGCAGCAGTAGCCGTCATTGCGACTACGGCCTGACTAAGTTGCAGTGACTTACTCCGTAGTTGAGTTAGTTAACACTCAGTAACTTGGCTGTGCCGACCACGGACATGTCTGTCTGTCTCTTTTGGCTACATGGTATGTACGTAGTATTATTGCTGGGCTTGCCCCCCTCCCTGGTCTGATTTTTTTTTTATTCTTCCTACTCTCGTTCTCTCACCTCACCTCTCTCCTGACCTAGTTGCGTTATTACTACGGAGTTTTATGGTGGCCACGCACTTCAGTCAGTCAGTCAAGTACATACATTAGCTAAACCACCTACACCAGCAGCGCCAACATCACCACTTGTACGGTACTAATCCACTTAACTCCCACACCCATTATTCCCCTCCCCCTCCCTCCCTCTCCCTCCCTCCCTCTCCCTCCCCTCCACCCTTCCAAGTTTCCCCTTCCCACCCCCCCAAATTAACCATTAACCATACCCGCCTGACAAAAGCCTGACCGGACTGTGATCTTCGTCTGCCCCTCCATCTTCCCTCTGCAATAGCTCGGCTGTCTGTGAAAACACTGCCGTCACTTACTCATACTTCCTCACCCGACCGAACTTGGTACTGTACGAGTATCTAACTTACCCGACCTTTCCTTTCCCATCAAGTTACCTCTTTTTACTACCCGCCGAACCGCCCGCAACCTCGATTTCCCTCTTATCCTTCCTCTTCCTCTTCCTCTTCCTCTTTTCTAATCTCCGCCCTTCATCCATCTTCCCAACTCTCTCTCTCTCTCTCTCTCTCTCTCTCTCTCTCTCTCTCTCTATCTCTACCCACCACCATCACCTCCACCATCTCCACCACCACCTCTTTCCTCCTCTTCTTACTTCCTCCTTCCTCCCCCTCCCCGTTCCTCTGTCTCTTCTACCCCCCTCCTTTTCTTTTTCTCTTAATCTATCTCCTACTTCCCATTTATTTCTCTCATTCCTGCCCGCCCATTATCAACGGTCAATACTCAGAACTACCCCTCCTTTGGAAGCCAATTTTAATTTTAATTCCTCCCACTCAGTATAATACCCTCTCCCGGTCTGACCAGTCCATACTGGGAGTCTTCTATACCTTATTATATACCCAATTGTTATCGGTTCTCGGTTTCCGTCCCGGTTGCTATACTTAGACACTCCTTGCCTCGACAACTGCCATACGCGAAGGTTCTCCATCAACCCGGCGTTGCAGACATATTGGGCTTTGGCCGCATTTTCGCACATCCTTCTTCGGGCGCATTCATCGGCTGCATCCTGGTGCTGCAGCAGTTCCATCACCTAACGATTCTTCGGTCCTGCCCTCGCCGTTGTCAGGTACACGGTTCTTCGGCGCCCTTCTTCTCGGCTCGAATCATATGGCTGCCATCGCTCTCCGCCGCACCGCGCTACACAAGTGATGCCGATCCACTCGGGCGTATCATTAGAGCTTCACGCCAGCTCTCCTTGAATAATAGTTCCCGTGAGAAGGCCAGACCAGGGTACAGAAACCGATCCCTCGTTCACGTCGGCAAGAAGATTTGATAACACTGCCAACGGAAAGCAAAAAAGAATGCACAACTGAACTCCGACAAAGACTCCTACTATTGAAATATGAAAATGGACCGGCCCCCTTCGATCGCAGGGTCGGAGGAACTGGTGAACTTGGTCGCTCGAAATGGGCAGGCATCAGACAACCCCCTTCGACGGGTTTCCGACAAATCGAATGAGGCTCTGAGCTCCTCGCCAACGTCAACGGAAGTTGACGTCCGACAAGCCATCACTAGACCTCCGAGTGCCAAACTTCCCTTGTCTGGAGACATCCCAGAAGGACAGCCCTCTCTGCGACACCCATTCCCTCACCTCTATCATTCCTCCAGTACCTCGAGATCCCCGTCCACGCGGACGTCTTCCAGCTCGTTACAGGCACTCAACGAGGACGTAGTCGTCGATGCTCGGTCGGATCACGGCGGCATCGGGCGAAACCCCATCGCCCGAAAAATGGTGCACCTGAGCCAGTCGGAGATGCCACCCGGCGAGTATCCTGTCTATCCTGACCAGTCATACGCCGTGCTTCAATCCCAGGTTCATCCCACATATCAACCTCCCTTTCTACGCACCCGCAGTTCATATCCGTCTCGGATTGAGGCGGCCTCTCGATTCTCTCCTGCACGTGCGGCGCGCACGGCGGGCAATACGCCCATCTCCAGCCCCGGACTTTTCTCCGTGCGCAGCCCTCGCTCAACTCCGCTCGCCTCGGATGACGAGGGTCGGATAAGTAGCCCATATCTTCACCCGACCCATCTCCAGCCACCCAAAGAGTAAGTCCTGGCCCTCTTTTCATGCAAGTTGCTAATTTTCTGGGGCATTATCTTGTTTTGCTGAAGAGCCCGCGACTGACCCACTCGGACAGGACCCATACAGCCGAGGTAGACCGCGATTTGATCACTGGCAACAAGCTGATTAATCAATATGAAATTCTCGAGGAGCTCGGACGTGGAGAACATGGAAAGGTGAAACTAGGTCGCCATGTCACGACCCGACAAAAAGTCGCCATCAAAATTGTCCAGCGATACTCGAAGCGTCGTCGCTTGGGAAAGCTGGGCAATCCTGAGGATAAGGTCAAGAAAGAAGTTGCCATTCTGAAGAAAGCTCGACATCCAAATGTTGTCAGTCTATTGGAAGTGATCGACGACCCTAATCGCCAAAAAGTATACATAGTTCTCGAGTATGTGGAGAATGGTGAGATCATCTGGCGCAAGAGAGGTCTGCGGGAAATCGTGCATGTTGATAAGCGCCGATTAGAGCGGGAAAGGGCTGGTATCCCCGAGACCCCTTCTTTCATGGAGGAAAGCCAGCAATATGTGAAAACCGCCCGACATCTCCGTCGCCAACGCGAAAAGGCACGCGAACGACTCGAAGCGCAGGCCGCCTTTGCACAGGAGGCTCCTATCCCAGCCTGGAGTCTAGAACATGGCGCAGAGTCCGACGAAGAGCAAGACGAAGAGCCTGGCATGGCTCGCATTCCGAGTCGATCCCTGGTGTACCATGATGAAACCCAGTCTTCTCCATGCCATTCTTATGCATCGGGTCCCGAAGCAGCATTGGCCGCAGTGGAAGGCAGCATGTATGGTGCCTATGCGGATTACTCTTTCGATAGAAGATTCAGCACGGCATCTAGCAGCTTTGGCTACGCTCCCTCCGAGCCGGAGTGGCTGAGTGACGATGATGATATGTCTTATGTACCCTGTCTCACGTTTGCGGAGGCGCGTAATGCTTTCCGAGACTCGCTCTTGGGGTTGGAATATTTGCACTTTCAAGGTATCATTCACCGTGATATCAAGCCAGCGAATCTGCTGGTTACCAGCAATTACCGAGTTAAAATCTCCGACTTTGGGGTATCTTACCTTGGCCGGCCCATCAGAGACGAGGATGAGGAACATATCGAGGAGACAGACGCGACTGAACTAGACGACGCACGGGAGTTATCCAAAACCGTTGGGACACCCGCCTTTTATGCGCCGGAATTGTGCTACACAGGCGAGGATTTTGTCGACAGTCTTGGCAGCGCTCCCCGAATCACTGGTGCTATTGATGTCTGGTCCCTTGGTGTCACCCTCTACGGCATGATCTTTGGACGTCTACCGTTTGTCTCAGATGACGAGTATAGCATGTTCCAGACTATTGTGAAGAAAGAGGTGTTCATACCTCGAAAGCGCTTGAAGCCAGTTGAAGAGAATCCTGATGCCGCCAGCCAGTGGCCGCGCTTCGACGACTACAGCAAGCGAATGGAGGATGAACTGGTGTACGAAGACATCGACGATGAGCTCTATGATCTCCTGAAAAGGCTGTTGACCAAGGATCCAGTCAAACGTATCACAGTGAAGGAGATCAAGCACCACCCTTGGATTCTCTACGGCCTTCCCAACCCTCGTGCTTGGGTAGAAGAGACCGACCCGGGATATCAGAGCAAGGGCAAGAAAATTGAAGTATCTAACGAGGAAGTCACCACGGCTGTCAGCAAAGTGCCTCTGTTCCAGAGGGTGCGTTCCAATGTTGCGAAGTGGTCGAATTTCCTGACTGGGCGATCCAAAGAGAAGGATAGTCGCAAGCGCACTCCTAGCAACAACTCCGCTGACTCTGGCTCTGCCAAGTCTCTCTGGGAGGGGCGCCGCCTCAGTCTTAGGGGCGATGAAGATTTCTCGCGTTCAATTCGCCATCTTCGAGATGGGGAACACCCCCTTTCACGGAGTGTCACCGCAAGTCCCGTTGGCCGGGACGAGCAGACCTCTTACTTTGTTCAATCCGGATCCAACCCCTCACATGAACGGATTGTGCGCCCCGACCCCCCGGAGCGCGCGACCTCGACCTTGTCCACAGCCGAGTCTGCGAAAACTGTGAAGCCACACGATTCCAGGAACTCACCTATACCACAACGGACGGGCACACCTGTCCGCGTAGAACATTCGGGTACCACGAACTTAAGTGGACTTTTTGGCGGCGCAAGCCGTCGGCTAGCACGTGGACTTCAGCCTCAGGATTGGCGCTCTGATCGGTCCGTTTCCGGCGAGACAGCATCTTTGGAAAGTGACCGCCACTCTGAGCCTAGTTTGGCTATTAGTGTGACGTCTGCGCTTGGCCACATGCAGCATCCTGCCCTGCGCTCCAATGAGGATCTACTTTCGATCCCTCATGACCATTCACTGTCCTCATCTCCGGGTCACCGTCGCAACCGCTCTCATCAGCTTCCAGGTAAACACGCCGAACCCTTCCATCTCACTCGAGAAGCCCTGTTACGAAAGAGACGGAGCGGGATGGAGTCGACATTCGACATGGACCATGCGCCGGCCCGTGGCTCATATGGACCAGACCACGATCATCTCATTCCGCCATATGATGTTTACTCGCCGGCTACCGGCCCCTCTGTTGAACACTTCATCTCCGGCGAGTCCTGCTTAACAACATCACCGCCTTCGGCTGCTACTATCTCTTCGTCCTCGGTGGACGAATATACTA